GTGCTGCAGGAAAAATTTTTAAAAAGGCATGTGCACGCATCTCATTTTACAGACGAGAGAGCAGACAGGAAAAGCGACCTGCCCAAGGTCACCCTGAGCTGGAATCGACCAGTACTGTCATGGGTCATTTAAGTTTTCTCTTTGGAGAGTCCCTCATATGACCACCAGTTCATCCATCAGCCATTCAGGACCACCCTAGCCTAATCCTAAGGGGTTTCTGGGCAAAGCCACGCAGAAACGCAATGGAGGTCAGCAGTGGGATGAGGGGACAGGAGGCCGTCTCCCTGAGGCCTGTGCACAGCGTTGGCAAAGGAGCCCAGGTCCGGGACGTCATCCAGGCAGCAATGTCCCAGAGCTGCTATGGTATGACTGCTCACTGGGGTGGTGGGGCGGAGCACTCTGAACAAAGAGGGCAACACACCAGCCAGGCCCCTACCTACAGCAACCATGGGCCGGGACAGCAGCCCGGAGCACCCCGGGGCCATGAACCATTCTGGAGGCGTGTCCCCAGCACTTCGCACTTTCGAGTCAACTGTGCTGTGGGCGAGGTCTCCAGGAAGCCGTGATGTTCCTCTCATTCTCTGGCTATGCCCAGGTGTGATCTCCGGTTAGAGGGTCTCCTCATAAGGGGCACCCATGGAGGCAGGCTCACCGTCATCCCATCTGTCATGAACAGGACCAGGGCGGCTGTGATGTGGATGGCGAAGAAGGAGTAAGGGGCGCCTCTGCAGTTCTTCCTTCGGCAGCAGCTGAACAGATCCTCGGGCCCTAGGGGAGAAACGGGGGCACATGTGAGACCTGGCACTCAGAAGAGCAGGCCAGGGCGGGGCCACTGCCTGCCACCACTTCTCTAGCTTTCTGTTAGGAACAATCTCTGGGGTCATCCACAGTCCTGGTGGAACCAAGGCTCAGAGAGGTGAAGCAACTTGCCCACAGGACACAGGGAGAGTTGAGCAGAACAGAGGCTGGAGCCAGGAGCCAGGTCTGCCTTCCTCGTTCTCTTGGCCAAGCTGCTCCATCTCCTGCCTCATGAGACCAACAGGGCCAAGAGTTTCTCCTATTATCACCTCTCTGGGAAAGGGGTTGCCAGGGAAGCCCCTTGGGAGGAGGCTAATCATGCATGCTCTACAGCGCCCCCACCTGGGTGTGGCTGGAACTTCGGGGGCAGCGAGGTGTCTTCTTTCTCAGGAGGCCGGGTCTCCATGGCCAGCTCATCTGCAGACAGGAGCAGCGGCCTCCTCTGGGGGCAGCAGGTCAGCAGCCGCTCCTTGGACAGCAGAAACAGCACAGCCAAGGGCACTGGAAGCTGCGGGGCGGGGCAGAGGGTCGAGAGAGTCCTGCCTGGTCAGGCTCCCCTTCCCCACACCTGGCCTGCTGCACACATCTCCACGGGGCGGCCGCCCACCCCTGCATCTGCACCGTCTTGGGGAAGACAGCTCTTTTCCAAGGGTGCTCACCCTAAGAGCCATCCTGGAAATGGGCCCTACCTGGAGTGGACCCTACCTTAACCACACCCACTTCCCTGAGAAGACACATACTTGTCAGTGCAAAGCTTAGCTGCACACGGGGCCTCTGCTGGCCCGGGACAGGTGCCAGGTAAGCTTGTTTCTACATCCCTTCCCGAATGAGGCTGGAGCACGGCACCTCTCATGCCTTCATGCTGGTAGATTGCGTGCTGCTTTCCTTACAAAGCAGTTGCTCTTATCTGTCACAGTGCTGTAAAATGTGCTAGAGGGGACTGTTGGTCCCATTTTCCAGATGGAGCAACCGAGGCTCAGCCTTATCACTTAGTCATACCTTGCTAAAACTAAAAACGACTGGAGAGGTAAACTAGAGACCCGGAGAACAGAAGTGTTCCGGTCACGCAGCTGACGTGGGGCAGGGCTAGACCTCACTAGCGCCATCTTCACCTCAGGGACCGTCTGTGTCCTGGAAGGGTACAAAGGTTCTGCTCAGGGGCGTGGTTTCTACACTGGGACACACAGACACGGACTCCTTTCCATGGAAAAGTGCATGTTGGAGGGACCAGTAGTTGGCATAATGGTAACATCGCTGGATTCCCACACGGCTGACAACGGTTCAAGTCCCAGAACTGGAGGCTTGAAACTCACTGTGCCTATGTGCATGCCTGCCCAAAATCCCAAGAGGAGGCCTATGTGCATGTCTGCCCAAAATCCCAAGAGGAGAATGGAGGATAAGGGATTGCAGGGTGGCCATCCCCACCGGGGGGGGATTTCTCACTGTCTGTCTGTCTGTCTCTTCAGTGAGCACACAAACCCTACGGCAAAAAATCTCTCTAAGAAAAAAAGACAAAGAAAAGTGCATGGTTTTATTTATTTATTTATTTTTTGGAGACGTTTTTGCTATAGGGCGCGTGCGCTCGCCAGACAGACAGAGAGAGACAGAGAGATAGAAAGCGAGAAATCACCCCCCACGGGGGATGGCCACGCCGCAATCCCTTCTCCTCCATTCTCCTCTTGGGATCCTGGGCATGCACACACACACGCGCCCGGCGTGAGTTCAAGCCACCGGGTCCGGGTCTCGAACCGTGGTCGACTACGTGGGAGTCCAGCGACATAGCCATTATGCTCACTGCTGGTCCCAGAAAGGTGCATGTTGGGCCAGCTCCACAGCATGAAGGCTACGGGAGCTGAACCCCACATGGTCATGATTTGAATCTCAGCCCTGGGGCTTGAAAAACACACCAGGGGTGCGTGCAAGTGTGTCCCCAAATCCTGACAGGATGGGGAGATGGAGGAAAAGGGATTGAGGCTTGACCACACCCATGAGAGGGACTTTCTCCTCTCCCTCTCTCTCTGGCAAGCACACACACTTTCTGGTAATTAAAAAACAAAAAAGCAGAGTGCATGTTTACCAGCCCCACACATGCAGGCCCAGAGTTCACTTCACTGCTATTTACTGAAGCGGCTGAGGTTTTCCCGGAGCTCCCCAGAGCAATAGGAAACGCCTTCTGCTTCTGAGGTTGCCTGGAGAAGCCTCCAGAACCTCCCCCAGGTGCCCCTGCCTGTAGCCAGCCGCCCTCTGTGCCAGGAAGCTCTCCATCAACTCCACTGCTGCCCTTCCTGCTGCCGCCGCAGCCCAGGTCCTTTCCTTAGGAAGGCGAGGAACCCCGGGGCTGCAGAAGTTCCCTGAGGCTGGTGCAGAGCGGAGGGGGCAGCCAGTGCGGCTCTGGCAGAGCCCTTTGGCTCCCCTGGAGCCAGGCCGACTCACCCAGGTGGCTTTCCAAGTTACCTAGCAGGGGTGAAAGGCAAAACCTCCCCTGTGCTGACACCTCCCTGTGGTGACCTTGAGAGCCTTTGCACACTGGAAAATAAGTCAAGGTCAGACACTGCCCCTGGGAGTGATAAAGCTGCGACTCGGACCTCAGTGGGAACAGCTGCCCTGGGCCGAGTCGGGGAGACACCGCCGTCCCGCTAATCTGCTAGTGGAAACAGGAAACCCACACGGAGGCCTAGAGGGGCAGAATGCCCGCCCAGGGAAAGGCCAAGGGAAACAGCTGTAGAAGAGGCGTGACCGCTCAGGTGGGGCTTTCCAGGGAGGTGGGCGGCAGGCAGGACTTCACAGAGGATTGGCTGGGGGGGCTGGCAGGAACACACCCGGTTTTTACAAGAATGCCATTCAGGAAGACAGCTCCACTCAGAGAAGGCTGGGGCGGGGGTGTGCCGGTGCGCCTGTGTGCCCACGTGCATGCACAGCCCTGTTCTCTCCCATGGTGGACTGTTTATTTTCAGATACAAACCAATGGAACAGTCCGGAAATCCTGCAGCAAACAGGGTTCCTCCCGGCTGCACCTCGTGGGACAGGAGGACAGACCTCAGACTGAAACCAGACAGTCTGGCTTCCTGGCCCCTGGGTCCCAGCCTTGATTTTGTACTGAGGGTACACCTTCCCTCTGCAGTTCCCCCTCAAACGTGCAGGCCCCCCTAGAAGGCACAGGCCCAAAGCTGTCCTGTTTAAAACAATGGATGTGCATGGGCAGAATGGGGAAGGGGCAGAGCAGGGGGTTTCTGAGAGTCACTAGTGAAGACTCTGGTCCAGGAAAAGGAAAGTTCCAGAGAGGAAGAACAGAAACACAGTCACTATGGCAGCAGGTGAAAGTCTATCTGGGCGGCAGGAGTCGGGCTTTCCACCCAGCTGGGCCTCTTACCAGCCCCCTTCTCGGGGCCTCGGGCCAGCAGTGGTGGAACACCCCTGCCGTGCTGCTCAGCAGAACCAGGGGTCTCAGAGGTCCCTTTTGGCACCACCTGCGTGGCCTCACTTGGAGGCTCAGCTGCTGGAATCCCACCTGCCTGGCTCTGGAGGGCTGGCAAGTCTCCCCAGTGCAGAGGCTCCAGTAACCACAGCACCTCTATCCCACAGCCAGCCGATGGCCACCTCCATGCTAGGCCTAAACCAGGGGTCAGGGCCACTACGGTGTCCTTCACAGTCCTTTCCAAGCTGGGGGTGATGTCTCCCCTTCTGACCCTCTGGAATAATGTGGGAACCCAATCTGGGTGGCCAGACACCAGTGGAGGCTTCCAGGCAGAGACCAGAGTTCGTGCCCTCGGCACCTGACCCAGCCACAGAGTGAGCGAGTCGAGCTCTGCTCCAAGGCCAGGGTCCCTGGAGGTCACCTTGTCTCTCCCCCTAGCCTCCAAACGAGCCACCAACAGCAGGGCACACCAGCAAGGAAGGACCCAGGAGAAGAACCGGCTTTTCCTGCCATGGCCTGTGACTGACAGGGTCACTTCCCCTGACCTGAGAGGAGAAGGGCTGGCTCACTGTGGCGCCTTCGATGGCCTCAAACCCAGCCTGGTGTTCACTATGCTAAACATGCTCCCTGCCTTACCTGCCCTGAGGCTGTGGTCACAGAAGGTCACGCTGAGGGACCAGAGACCAATCCTGGGGAGGCCCAGCTCTCCCATCCTTGGGCCTCCGTGATGGCGCCTCAGCCCAAGCAACATGCCTCCCAGAACCCACAAAGCTGCCCTGGGAGCTGGAGGCCTAGGGCGAACGGACTGTCCACTAGCTCCCCACCACCCTGCCGCGGGACACTCACATTGATAAGGGCCATGATCCAGAAGGCGTAGGACACATGAGTCCTGGCCCCGTGCTTCTGGGGCAGCCCAGTGACCGTCTGGTTGGGCCACAGCTGGGTCTCAGTGTGATGATGCTGGCTGAGGACCCCGGCAGCACGGAACAGGTGGCTTCTGGACGTGACGTTGGTTGTGCTATTGCCCGGCAGGCAGCTGGCCTCAGACAGGAAGGGGTCGGCGATCAGGGGGCTCAGCAGCGCTCCGAAACCCACAAAGAAATGGAGCACCTGGGGAGGGGGACATGGCTGGCTCAGGCCAAGGAGGCCAAGATGGCCAGGCCTATTCAGAGGGCTCACAGCCCCCACTTGTGCCCGCAGAGCCTGGCCCCACAGTGGGTGGCCAGGGGAATGGGAAGCAGGAGAGGAGGGCAGTATGAAGCCCTTCTGCCTCTCACACAGCCCCCCATGCAGCTGGATAACGAGCAACCAAGCCCCTCCCTCCCTCCTCTCTTGTCTCCTGTCTTAACTCCCAACTAACATGGAGCTGTTTCTGCTGTGCACACACCTGAGGGGAAGGGCACTCAGTAAAGGTTAGGGTGGATCCCACATGGCTGACTGCGTGGACCTGGCAGTTTGAAAACACACTGGGTGCGTGTGCGCGTTGCATACCCAAAACCCCAGGAAGAGAATGGAGACAGGACTGTGGCCTGGCTATCCCCTCTGGGGGTGATTTCTCACTTTCCCTCTCTTGTTTCCTGGTCTTAATCCCCAACTAGCATGGAGCTGTTCCCGCTGTGCAAACACCTAGGGGAAAGGGGCCCAGTGAAGGTCAGGCCTGGGTAGGAGGGTGCCCTGGGTGGCTGGGAGCGAGAGGAGGGAAGGAGACAGGCGAGAGGGAAGAGGCACCAGAGCAAACAGTGAGCTCTGCCTGAGTCACCGCCTTGTCCCCAGGGAGAAGGCCGGCCACGCCCCCACCAGCCCACAGGCTCACCCTGCCAACCCTCCACCACCGCTGGCCGCTCACCTGCAGGAAGACAGCCGAGTCCTGCTGGTACATCCTCACCAGCTGCATGTTGGCCACGGTGTCGATGCAGCCCATGGCCAGGCCCGCCAGCGCCATGACCAGAGCCAGCACCGTCACATCGCTGCAGAAGGGGATGACGGCAAACACCAGGGAGATGACCAGAGAGGCGGTGAAGAGGGCCCACAGGGACTGGGCCAGGCTGCAGCAGGGGAGGGTGGAGTCAGCAGAGGGGCCTGGAGCCGTGGGTGTGGCCAGACCCCATCCTTGTCCCCCACTTGCAGCGAAACCTGGGGAAGCCAGGTAGAAAGGGAGGGGATGCAGGAAGAAGCTTGGTCGGCCTGACTAGCTCCGTGTTGTGGGCATGTCCTTGAAGGTATCCGTCTCCTAACACAGAGATCTGTCTGCCTCCAGGGCTGCTGTGGAAATCCCAGATGCTGTGCACTGACTGGCATACAAAGTCTAACAATGGCTTCGTTTACGAACAAGTTTATATTGTTTACTTAAACAGTTATTTTTAAACTTATTTATTGTTATGAACTACCAGAGGGCAAGAGAGAGCATGAAAGAGGGGGGAAAGCTTCCCCCAGTAAGGCGTGGCCGGGCCGCAATCCTTTTCCTCCACTTTCCGCCAAGATTTGGGGCACATGTGTGGGCCCCTTTTTCAAGCTGCCAACATCAGGATTTGAACCACAGTCAGACACGTGGGATCCAGCTCCCAATGTACTTAACCACCGTGCAATAGGGCTGGCCTGCTCAACGATTATACGGAAAAATGTTTCCCATTCCTTCAGGCCTGAGCCACCTGGACCAAGGCTCACAGCAGATGTTGTGGGTGACAGGAGGTGTCTGAGTGGTGACCCCATTGACCGCCCCCTTCTTCAGACAACAGAAGCACCCACAGCAGGCTGAGAGAGCATTCCCCAAGGGTGAGTGAATGAATGAATGAATGCGTGGAGTGTCTGAGATGCCAGCGATGCCCCTGGGATGTCCTGCCCAATAACAGAGTCCCGGAGAAAGGCTTAGAGACTTGTATTTTCTGAGGCCTGAAAGGCTAAGGGGTGTGTGTGGGGGGTGAGGGGACGGGGAGGAAGCAGCAAGAAGGTTCTGGAAGGGCAAGGTTGTGGAAGAACTTAGATTATGAAGCCCTGGAGACCTGTTTAAGTGGGAAGTGAGCAGGTAGGGGAGGCCCCCAGAGACCCCTTGGGTCACGACTTTTCCCAGAGCTTGCCTCTGAGCCCCTGGGCTCGCAGCCGTGGCCCTCGGCCATCTCATCTTGCCCCATCTTTGACTGTATCCCTTATCGGAACTGCTCTGCTGATAGCGGCAGTTCGTTATTTTCTCTTTCTTATTTCCAGGCTGATCTGTTGGGGAGATTACAGAACACGACCCCAGTTGCCAGCTCAGAGCTCAGTGTGTGCGGGGAACTGGAGACCCCCTTCAAGGCCGGGGTATAAGAAGGAAACCCAGGAGAACTGTGTTGGGGGAGGCCTGTTTAGGCCCCCCAACTCCTCAGCGTTCAGTGGGTTCCGCTGTGGGCCCAGCTCTAATGCCCCCTGCAGTGCAGCCTCATGTCATACGTGTCCTCCCTGGCACCCGCACAGAGGCCAACAGCTACGGGCTGCTACCATGGCAGCACTCTCACAAAACTCTCTTCCCTGGAGACGCTCGACCAGCCTCCGGTGCCCTGACGTGTCAGCATGATCCGAGGGCCGCTCACTGACCCCAGTACACATGCAGGTCACGTCTGCCTCCACCCTCGCCACTTTGTGGTAAAGCGAGGACACGAGTCAAGTACGAGTTCTCTCTCGAAGGATGAGCACGCTGCCATCATGGCCTTGGACAGCCTGGGGGAGGCCAGCCAGTGGCATGGAGGTTAAGGCACTAGATCCCACATGGCTGACTGCAAGGATCGAGTCCTGGACCTGGCAGCTTGAAAAACACACTGGGCATGTGTGCACTGCATACCCAAAATCCTGAGACGAGAATGGAGAAGGGATTGTGGCCTGGCCATCCCCCTGGGGGCGGGGGAGATTGCTCACTTTCTCTCTCTGTCTCCCTCTCTTCAGCAAGTGCATGTACTCTATAGCAAATTAAAACAAAAACACAAACACAAACAAACAAGAAAACCACTTGGGTGAAAGTCTCGACAGTTAAGTGACAGCAAAGTCTGAGGCAGCGGGGCCCCGAGTTGGTGGGCTGAGCTGGGAAGGAGCTGTGGGGAGGTGAGGGCAAGGCGCTGATGACAATAACTAGCGCCACAGTGTCCGCGGGAACACCTGGCCTGTGTCCTAGACACTGGGTGACGTGACAGCACTGGGAGGGAAACTGTAATGTGCTCATTTGACTCATGAGTAGACTTGGGCTGACAAAGGCTAAGGACATGGCTGACAAGCCTGGACGCCACCCCCAGACTTCTGACTTTCTGTTCCCTATGCTATGCTGCTCTCCGTGCGGGAATGACGGTGCACGCACATGTACGCACATGTACACACATGCACACACACGCACACACGCGCAGCCAGGCTGGAGAGGGGGCATGGTGCAGAACAGGAGGCCAGATTCTACAGAGCCCAGACGGCTGGCTGGGAAGCAGAGGAGAGCAGGTGCAGTCTCAAGCAGGTGCCTCCGCAGGCCCCTCTGGGCGTTTGGTCAGGCGGGACATTAGAACTGCCGGCTCCACCGCGAATTCCCCAAGGCATCGGCTGCAGCCTATTTGTCGAGGAACCCACGCCTGGTACCATGCTTGGCCCCGAGAAGGCGCCCGGCCCAGGCCAGTGGCCGTTGCTAGTGAAATGGAATTAGGGTTCGAGGAAGGCAGAATGGAGACCCAGGAGAAGGGGAAAGGTCAGGGAGGGTTGGTGGCCCCTGCGGGCTGCCTGCCTGTCCAGGCCTAGCCTTTTTGCCATTTGTTATTTTTTTGTCCCCTCGCACTTCACCATTCTGGGGCTCTTGGTGCACAGGGGGCCTTTTTTTTTTTTTTTTTTTTTTTTGTCCCAGGCCCAGTGACAGACGGGGGGAAGGATAAAGAGAGACAACAGACGGAAAGAAACAACGCTGGCGGGACCCAGGCCTGGGAAATCCCTCCTGCATCTCCTGCCAAGCCCTGGGCTGAGCTGGACGCCTGCCCGGCCCGCTGGGAGTGCTGAGCCCATCGTGGGCCTGGGGTTTCTGGGCATCACAGAGAGGGAGACTTGCTCCCCCAAGTGTGGACAGCTGTACTACAGGAAATCTTGTTTTTAGATCTCAGACTGCCCACCCACCCCAACTGCTTCAGTAGGACGGGACTGTGCCCGGGCTTTCCAAAAATCAGCCTGAACAATTTCGTTAGAATGGTGTGCTGTTGCCAAGTCCTAGATCCATCCCAGAGCCAGACTGACGTGCATTTATTGCTTGTTTTAAACGGCTTGGTCAATAGCCTCTTCCAGGAATGGGGGTAATTGAAAATTATAGAATAATAACGTCAAAACCATTTGGCATCAAGGATGTAGCGGGATCCGTAACCAGAAGACTGGGTTCTTGGCCCACCTTGGCCAATACCCAGTGGTGTGGCTTGGAACAAGCCACTTATACTCAGCTCCTCTGAGCCTTACTTTCCTCCACTATAAAATAGGGATTAAGGAACCAGCAGATGGCTTAATGATTATGTCGCAGAACTCCCATGTAGTTGATCATGGCTCAAGTCCCGAACCCGGCGGCTTAAAACTCACACTGGGTGCACGTGCGTGCATGCCCAAACTTCTGAGAGGAGAATGGAGGAAAAAGGATTGCAGCATGGCCATCCCCTCTGAGGGATGATTTCTCACCTTCTTTCTCTCCGTCTCTCTGGTGAGTGCACGTGCTCTATAGCAAACATTTCTCTAAAAACATAAATAAAATGGGGATATAATAAAAAAGGAGCCAGCCCATGGCCTGGTGGCCAAGATGGCTGGACCTCACATGACCAACTATGCTGTTTGAGTCCTAGATTCAATGACTTGAGGGGCACACCAGGCGTGTGTGCGTGCTTACCAAAATCCCTGGAGGAGGAAGGAATGGAAAAGGGATTACAGCATAACCATTCCCCAAGAGGGAGTGCTTTCTCACTTTCCCTCTCTCTCTGATGAGCACATGTGCCCTCAAGCAATTTTTTTTAGAGGTATTTTTGTTATAGGGAGTGAGCTCTCACCAGAGAGAGAGACAGAAAGTAAGAAATCACCCCCCTGAGGGGATGGCCACACCACAATCTCTTCTCCTCCACTCTCCTCTCAGGATTTTGGGCATGCATGCACAAGTACTTGGTGTAAGTTTTAAGCTGTCGGGTCTGGGAATCGAATCGCAGTCGACTAACGTGGGAGTCCAGTGACATAACCATTATGCCATCTGCTGGTCCTCCATCTGGGCATTTTTTTTTTTTTTGAGAGGTTTTTTTTTTCACTATAGGGCGCGTGAGCTCGCCAGACAGACAGAGAGAGACATAGAGACAGAAAGCGAGAAATCACCCCCCAGGGGGGATGGTCACGCCGCAATCCCTTCTCCTCCATTCTCCTCCCGGGATCTTGGGCAGGCACGCACACGCGCCCGGCGTGAGTTTTAAGCCACCAGGTCCGGGACGCGAACCGCGGTCGACTACGTGGGAGTCCAGCGACATAGCCATTACGCTAACTGCTGGTTCCCCATCTGGGCATTTTTAAGAAAACTTTATGGGGGGCCAGCAGGTGGCATGGTGGTTAAGGTGTTGGCACTTCCACATGGCTGACCACGGTTTGGGTCCTAGATCTGGTGGCTTGCTTTCTTGCTTTCCTTCTCTCTTTCTGGTCAAATTAAAAATGAATGAATGAATAAATTAAATTAAATAAATAATTGTTAAAAAAAAAGAGAAAATGTTATGTATAACCCTGTGCTGAGATTTGAGCTCGATACCCGCCAAAATTGTACTTGTTTATATACCTCTATACACACGCATACCATCAGGACTAGCCCTGGAACGCAGCAGGCAGGTGCTGGGCACTGGGACTGCAAGCTCACAGAGATGACCGCGGTTGAATATCCTGGCCCTGGTGGGCATGTGCTGACAGGATGGACAAATGGAGAAGGGACTGCAGCATGTTCCTGTCCCATGGGCTTGGGAGGGCGTTTTCTC